TGGGAAGCTTGGTTTGTATCCAGGAAGGCAGTGAGTGTGGCTGCTGGTCACAACCTGATGCCGTGGCTGCTGCCTTTTTAAAGCATTTAACCCTTTTAAAAGGGTTTTGTAATCCATCAAAAGTGCAGATGCTGTGGGGTCAGCAGAAAGCAAGCCACCAATGACACTTATAAAAGTGCAGCAGGAGGATGGCAAAATGCAGAACTGGTCCACAGAGTAATATGTACACGTGGAAAAAGCCCTCCTTCTTTTGGCCTATGATGTAACTGAGCCCTGAAGTAAAAGCTACCAATGGGGATATTTTACATCTTTCCTCCACTGTCGGAAATGAAAAAATAAAGCAGGCAAGTAAGCCTGCCATCCTTCAAAGCCTCTGGGAAACAGGGACAGGTGAAAGGAATGGTGCAAATCAATCTACATTACATTACCTCACTAGAAGGACTTGAAGGGACTAAAGAACATTTTCATTAATCTTGTATGGGGCTGCTCAGTGTCATCCTAAATTGCATCAAGATGTGATGAAGCCAGCAGCCACCGTCAGCACACAGGCTGGAGGAAAGGAAAAGGAAAAGAAAGGAAAAGGAAAGGAAAAGGAAAAGAAAGGAAAAGCCAGATTCCCTTCCACAACAAGGTGATGGGGAAAGGAGTTAATGCCCAGCTCAGGTGCTTCCAGATGAACCAGAGTTTTGCTGTGACCAAGGAAGAGTCCTCTGAGCTCTGTAGTCCCCTGCCTTGTTTGAGGGTCAGAAGCAATGGGAAAACACCTTGCATGTATCTCAAACTTTCCAAATGCAGGATCTTCACATTCCCAGTTTACTGAGGGCAATTTAAAAGGCAGTTGTATCCAATGAGAAGATCCCTTCGTCCACATCAGGCTTTGTTCTATGAGTGTCCTGAAGTGGGCACACTGTTAACATCAGCATCAGTCTTAGCAAGGAAGTAGTGATCTATTTATTTAGGCAAGAGTGCATTTGGCCTCTTAATCCTCAACAATAGAATCACTAAGGTTGGGAAAGGCTGCTGAGATCACCAAGTCCAACCTCAACCCACCCCCACCATGGCCACCCCCATGTCCCTCAGTGCCACATCTCCACAGTTCTTAAACCCTTTCAGGGGTGGTGACCCCACCACCTCCATGGGCAGCCTTGTGCCACTGCCCATAATTTTTTCCTAATAATTTTTTCCTAATATCCAACCTGAAAATAACTTTAGCACCAGATCCCAGGAGACTTTTGTTACAGCAGAGCCAATTCTGCCTTGGGAGCAGAATCTCCTGGATGCTGCTCTGCCTCTGCTTCCTCGTGAACATCATTTTTTCCCTTCCTTGCTCACAGGGTTCTTGCTCACAGGGTTCTGATGTCATTTACCTGGACCTGAGCAAGGCCTTTGACATGGTCCCCCACCACATCCTCATCTCCAAATTGGAGGGAAGTGGATTTGATGGGTGGACGACCCGATGGATAAGCAATTGGTTGAAAGGCCGCAGACAGAGGGTGGTGGTCAATGGCTCTATGTCCAGGTGGAGGCCGGTAACAAGTGGTGTCCCCCAAGGGTCTGTCTTGGGACCGGTGCTCTTTAACATCTTTATTAATGACATCGATGAGGGAATTGAGTGCACCCTCAGCAAGTTTGCTGACGACACCAAGCTGAGTGGTGCGGTTGATACGGTGGAAGGAAGGGATGCCATTCAGAGGGACCTCGACAGGCTTGAGGGCTGGGCTCAGGTGAACCTAATGAGGTTCAACACGGCAAAGTGCAAGGTTTTGCATTTGGGCCGGAAGAACCCCAGGCACCCGTACAGGCTGGGAGGAGTGGGCCTTGAGAGCAGCTCGGCAGAGAAGGACCTCGGGGTCCTGATGGACGAGAGACTTAACATGAGCCAGCAGTGCGCTCTGGCAGCTCGAAAGGCAAATGGGATCTTGGGCTCCATCAGGAGAGGGGTGGTCAGCAGGGAGAGGGAGGTGATTGTCCCTCTCTACTCGGCTCTTGTGAGGCCCCACCTGGAGTACTGTGTCCAGGTGTGGAGCCCTCAGTACAAGAAAGACATAGAGATCTTGGAAAGGGTCCAGAGGAGGGCGACTAAGATGATCAGGGGGCTGGAGCACCTCCCCCTATGAGGACAGGCTGAGGGAATTAGGCTTGTTCAGCCTGGAGAAGAGAAGGCTGCGGGGTGACCTCATTGCAGCCTATCAATACCTGAAGGGAACCTACACCCAGGAGGGGAGTAAACTCTTCAGAAGGGCTGACAACAGCAGGACTAGGGGAAATGGATCCAAGTTGAAGGAGGAAAGATTTAGGTTGGATGTTAGGGGGAAGTTCTTCACAAGGAGAGTAGTTAGGCCCTGGAACGGGCTGCCCAGGGAGGTTGTGGATGCCCCGTCCTTGGACGTGTTCAAGGCCAGGTTGGACGGGGTCCTGGGCAACCTGATCTGAATGTGTACGTTTGGTGGCCCTGCTAGGCAGGGGGGTTGGAACTACATGATCCTTGAGGTCCCTTCCAACCCAGGTGATTCTGTGATTCTGTGATTCTGTGGTTCTCCAAAATGTTATGGTCACAAATCTTCCTAAGTCTGATTTCAGTGTTTATTTAAAACACTTCTCCTTTTAGCAGTTCTTTGGAAGCTGCAGTGTGAGACAACTCGTTATGGCATGACGAGGGGGCACCGACATATGTATGCACCAGACTAACATATGAACAAGCCTAGAAAAGGAATGGTGAGGCAAGAAATAGTACAGTAAAGACAAGTGGGAAAATAAGAAACTGTCAGATGTTCCAGCCTCCACAGAATAGGAATGGCATTGCTATGGTTAGTCACAGCTGTAGCTCCTGCCCCAGTCCTCAGGGATGAATAATCCCCATTGCCCCATGTAGTGAACCCAGCAGTGAGGCAGAAGGTGTAGGAGCAAAGAGGGGGACCCAGGTGACCTCAGAAGAGGCTAGAAGGTAAAGCCTTCATTTCTTCCCTTGGCAGGATTGGACAAGCAGTGGTATGAACTGAGTTCATCTCTCAGCCAGAGTTGTATCTGCGTGCATGATCCATCAATTGCTCTTAGAGTGGCCTTTGCCCATAGACCAGCTTGCAGCAGTGCGGTGGAGATATGTCCCTCAGTGCTGCATTCACCTTTCACTTGAAAGCCTCCAGCGATGGTGACTCCACCACCTCCCTCAGAAATACTCTCTTTGGCGTTTTTGTTGAAGAAGTGCATTTTGTGGGACCGATGGGGTCCCACCAACCAAGTGAGGACTGAAGGCTGCACAGTGGCAGCTGCTGTGTGCACAGAAAGCCAGTCCCTGGGCATGGCGTGGTGACATTTCCCATTCAATTACTGGGGACACTGCCACCTGTGGGAGCTGTTGCCATGGCAATGTGATAACTGTAGCACATCCCAACAGAGGTCCCTCTGCAGCATCCCGAGGCTTCCCTTCACCTCATGCTAATGCCGTGATCGTGGCAGCAGGAGCTGTGTAGGTTGCTAGAAAAGACAGGAATAAAGCAGATTTACCCAAAATGGGAGGCACTTGTGGGATGTGAGTGTGGATTGTGCTTGGAGCAAAGCAGAGCTGGCAAGGGGGTGAGTTGGTTTTGGAAAGTGAGAGCCGAGCCTTGTGTGGGTGTGACAGGGTTGAGATGCTCAGTTCCACATATGGCACAGCCACTGCTGTCAACAACCCTGCTCTCCCCACTGCACTGACTGGAAATAAGTTCAGCCTGTGGCAGTGTCTGCCACTTTGTGGGTGCTGTGTTTTTTTTGGCTATTTAATGAAAGGTAGCATTAAAAACTTTCTCTTGCAAATGTGTAGAGCCTGTGGCAACCACCCTGCTTAGAGACATGGTGGGGCTGTGAGAGGGGCCTTCCAGAGGTGGTCCTATGTGGTCTCCCTGTATGAGCCCTCCTGCTTGTGTGAGAGCTGGGGTTCAATAGGGACCAGCCCAGATCTTGCATTGCTCCTTCCCATGCATCCACATGAACTGCAGGGCATCCTGCTGGATTTTTGTGCTTTCCCAAGTTCTAGAAATGCACTTCAGCTTTGAGATTTACAGCAATATTTGGAGAGAGTTTCCTGTAGGTATGTTTCCTACCAGTGTGTTTTCTGGACTGTTATGTTTTGTGTAAAATAATCTGGCACTTTGCATGAGTGAGCAAGCTGGGAGGGCTGAGGCAGTGTTGTGTTTGCCCTGGTGACCACCCCTGGCACTCTGAGCATCCTTCCCTGGCCTGGCTCCTCAGTGATACTTTGTGTTGTGTTTTTTCTGGAGCATCTGTGTCAGTGTGAATGTGCTGGTACACATGGGGTGGAAACACAGCTAAAGGCTGAAGCTGCCTCACTGAATCAAGGGCAATGTAAATAGAATAAACTGTGTTTGCTGAGAGCTGAACTATAAGCACTAGATTTAGACAAATGCTTTAAAGCAGTCTCAGTGTTACTCTATGTTACTTGATGACCGCTTTGTTGTTATAAGCTGGACTTTGCAATAATATTAGCACATGTTGTGTGGTTTTGAATGCTGACTTAATCTCACAGAGAACTAATCCATTTCAAGAAGCAAAGTGTTGCTTTCAGTTTGTGCTTTAAATCATTGCTTTCCCTTTTCTCAGGGTGAGAATCTGAGCCTACCACTGTGTAATTTAAGTGACTAAGATGGCTTTATATTGTCACTGTTGTCAGCAGTTCCAGTTTCCATCAAACAGATACTTTTTGGTGTGGGGAATTTATTATTCACGTTGTCATGCTGGGTGCAAACTTCCATGTTAAAATACAGCTTAATGCAGCAAAAAGTTGTTCAAGTTCTCCCTGAAGTAGCTTGCCCTACTCTAGACAGACCAGTACTGGGGATGGAAAGGGCACACACAGCTGGAATCAGCCTGGAACTGGGAGGGAAACACCAGGAACAGGTGTGCAGGATCTGAGAAGTCATACCAGGGACTGGCAGAATTTTCTTTGCCCAGTTTCAATCAATCTGGCATAGAGGCAGTTGCTTATTGATAATTCTTTACAGAGGGAGGAATTATGCTCATAATGAAGAGTTGGGACTGCAGTGCAATCAGAGATCCGCCCATGCTTTGCTCCCTTCTAATGCAATTACTCTAGCTGCAAGATTTTTGTTCAAGATACTGGAAATCCTCCAGCTTATTTGCAGAAAGCAATGCAGCAGCAACTGTCATACAGATGTTCCCATTGGAGAGAAATTGCAGTATGAGCTGAGCCCTGTCAGGAGCTGGTCTTTACATCACCTGGCGCAAAAGTGTGTGAAACTGAGAACTTTAATTAACTGCCAGAAAGCACTCAAAATGCTTGCCAGCAATCAGCTGTGGGTCTTACAACCTTCCTCTAGGTGCGTCACCTTCCTGGGGTGGCAGTGACTAGCAAAGGGGTCATGCTCTGCCCACACTCCCCAGCTCCAGGCAGGGATGCAGCAGTGCTCCCCTACCTGGTAGGATGTCAGATCAGTGGGATCACCTCTGTGGGGAAGACCTTGTAATAGACAAAAGTCGTAGTGTCCTAATGGCTTCACCAAAGCAGGTTCTTGGCAGTGCAAAGAGATGGCAAAATGCACCAGACCCAGAACTCCAGCATCAGCACAGGACAGGTGGCCTGCTCCTCCTCTGGGTTTTGGTGGACATGCATCTCATAGGAAAGGATGTCTCTGCAGTGCCTGCAAACACAAGAATTCAGCATGCTTTTTCTCTCCACAAACCCTTTCAGTTTCTCCCTATCAGCACTCCCATGCTGTGTTTAGGGGAGCATTTCTAGGTGGGTGTACGCGAGGGCAGAGTTGGACCTGTGATACTTAAGTCAGCCTCAAATGGGAATCTGGAGGAGGAGGAGCACGGATGGAGATAACACTTCAGCTTGGCTTTGGAAAATTAGCTTTTTCATAGAAGACATATTATTTTTTCCATTTTTCCTAACTGAATTTGCTGTTGCACAAAGTTGAGTTTGGAAGCAGGCGCATTTTACTCAAAGGAGGTGATTCACTGGCCTAAGATGTCTCCAGGAAACGATAGGGTGCTGCTTATAGCATAGAATAAAAGAGCAACCTTTCTGCCTGAGGGCACCTCTAGAAAACCAGATGAAAACTGAAATCAGTCAGAAAGTCTTGGCTTTGAGGTTTCCTTCCATCTTCTGCGCTGTAGTTCCTGGGAAAAAGGCTGACCTCTGAGAACGGAGTCACTTGCAGCCACAGAGAGGTTTGAAGGCTCTGTTCAGTTAGCTGAAATGCTTCCTCCACACTCTGCTGGAGAGGTGCCTAACAGGCCTTGCCTAAGCAGATGAATTAAAAGGACTGAAAGCAGTCATTGATGGGGCTCCTTGATGTAGGTAGAGGAGGAGGGAGCTGCTCTGGCATTAGGCTGATGTTTGAGAAAAGCTGAAAGAACCCGTCCAATTGCTAAGCAAAGCTTCTGGGAAGACTTCAAAAAGAAAAGAAAAATCAATTGAAATCATCCACTCATCAGAGAAAAAAAAATCTTATTTGCAGATCTCTGTGCAGCATGGGGAGCTTTTATAACAAACACATGAAGTATCCTTACAACTGACGCTTTCTTACTAGGGCTCAAAACTAAAAATACTTTGCAACCTACAACAAGTCTTACTGACAGAGGAGACAGTGTTTAAAGCTCAGTATTTCTGTTTTGGAGCCTTGCATTATAGAGGATGATGTGACTGTTTTTCATATGGAAATACCATTTTAATTAAGACAAACAGATGGTTAACAGGAGCGGTATTGTAGGCTTCATGAAAGTAAAATCTAAAGGGCACAATAATATTTCCACTTCACAGCGGCTTGTTTTGGTTCCTACCAATAAATAAATTCCACGTGTCAGAGAAAAACATTTTCACTGTATAGTTCATGTGTTGCTGCTTGTGTGTTAGGTGCAGATCACAAAACAGGGGCACACTTATCCCCAAAGCAGGTACAAACCTATGCATGGTGCAAATCATGCAATACTTGAAATCTATCGATAACTGCATAAAAGGGCAAAAAAATTCCATTTTCCATAACCAGAAAAATCTCTCTGTGAGTTGTAATTTTACCACGTCTTATACTTGCTCTGTACCTGCTCTTTGTGCTTGCCTGCTTGCAGAAAACTCATAGAAAGAGGAAAGTGACTGCAGGATGTGTTTGTAGATGGTGCTTAGTCACTTTTCCCCTACAGCACAGCTTGCATTCAAGAAAACAAGAAAGCTCTGTATCTAAATCAAGTTGAAATGAAACTTCTGGAACTTAAGGCAAAGCATTATTTTGATAAGGAAACTTGCCTATCAGAAGGCAGAGGCTGTACTGGCCCTGCAGATCACCTCCAGAAGGTGAGAGCAGTGCTGCAGAGATAAGTGCCCTATTTCTGGGCATGGCTCGACAGCCTGTCTGCCTGCAACCCTGAAAGAGGATTCTGGGGGGCGAAGGTTACAGCAGATAAAGCAGGGTATTAGGAGCTGTCACACTCTCCAGTCTTTCTGCCGCTGCTCTCTTCGTTCTCACATGTGGGTCAAGCACAAACCCCAGCTCAGAAGTTGCTCTGCTCCAGCAAGAGTACTCTGCACATTTGTTACATCCCTGGGGTGGAAATACTTGTCCAAAAGATGGTGCTCAAAGGACCTTGCAGATTGCCAGGAGAGCTGGGAATGTGAGCCTGGGCTGTGGCTTTTCAGGGAAATACTCTGAGAAATATAACAGTGGAGGCAAGCACCACTAGAGACGTCCCATTTATGATTAGCGCATTGCTAACGACAGGAAGACTTTCCCTGAGTGAGATCTAATGTCATTAAACTTAAACCTGGCAAACATCAGTTAGTGGAAACAAAATTAGCCTTGTCTGGGAATACCAGCTCCTGCCTCAAAGTGCTAATTTCCCCAAACATACAGGCAACGGCCTCAGAAACTGTAATTAGGAAACCTCGCCAGACTTGAAAGAAGATTCTTTCACCCACAAAGGCCCAAGCTCATAAGCTTCTCCTATCGCCCCACAGCTTGGTGTGTTTAATGGCCTCATTGCTCAAAGTGATAACCAGACCATGTTGGATTTAATGCGAGACCATGAAAATCTGAAGGAAAATTAACAGCATCAAATCGCATCTCAGTCACTCTTGCTTGGTTCTTAGGGTTGGCTGGATGTGCTTTTTGTCTTCTTGGTTGCTTGTTTGTTCCAACCACGTTGTCACCTACTGCCCTGTTCTTGCATGATCTTCCTTCAGTGTCCTGTTGTCATTTCCCAATTTGCAGGGTTCCAGTTGTATCAGCATCTCCAAGATGTGTGACAGCAGGAGTTATGTGAGTGAGGCACAAAAGTTAATAGCTGATGAAAGGATAATTTAATGTAGCATAAAAAGGCCAGATTCTCAGCTGATACACGTTGATGAGAAAATTGCACCAATTTGCACCAGCTGAAGATGCACTGTCTGGATCTCTAGGTAAAAGTAGCTTATGTAGTTGAAATTTCACACTAGCTTATCTGGAGATAGGGAATTAAACAACAAGACTAAGCATCTCCCAGAAATAGATGCATCAGTGGGAGTTGGAACAAGGTTCTAAAAGTAATTACTATCCTGCCTGGAGTGTCAGATTCATCAATAAAAGCAAAGCCTTTCTGTAGTAGTGTAGCTATATAAAATAGAACACACCCCACACCCTGCAATAATGGTTAGAACTCAATATTTTGCAGAAATACTGAAATGGTGGAGTGAGTCTGGGTGGAGAAGTGAAACCTGTAGGTCAAGGCTGGGTAAGGACTGCGCAGTTTGATCCCTCCTCTGGAGGCTCAATGGAAATGATCACTTACTGTGCAGCGTCTCATCCCTCTTCTGATGGCAGCAGATGGCCAGGGCTGCTCAATCCCAGATTAATCAAAACTCCATTTAGAAGAGGCACTGAGGAGCAGTTCAGAGATGGCAATGGGCTGGCAGAGGAGGCAGTAGGATTGCATCTGCTGAAAATCTGCATGGGCTTCAGGGAGAAATCAGAGAATAAAGTTCCATGAACAGAGGCCTTCAAAATGGAGGTGAAGGGGAAGGCAGTCAGGATCTGGGGCACCAGCCAGACTGTTCTCCTAGGCTCTTTCCAGGATAAGAGCATTTGCTATGGGCTTTGCAGAGAACAGTAATGGAACAGATCGTTGTAAAGTTGAGGATCTAGAGATATGTTTTGCTACACTGCAATGACAGAGAGTTGTGCTCAGGGGAGTAACCAAGCCCACAGGACACTGGTCACTGCTGTGTGTAGCAGACCTTGCAGCTTGCTTGGCATATATTGTTGTGTGCATATGGCTGCTTCCTGAGGAGCAGTGGGGACTTGCAGCATCACCTGGACTTTTGCACAACACATGCATTTGTCCTCTTGCGGAAAGAAAGATTGGAAACCCCAGCATCATGTACAGCAACACAAGATGTAGGGAGAGTGTTGACTCCCAGTGCTTTGGTGCTGCACTGCACCACCAAATGTCCTGCCAGGGGGACAACGTAATCTTTCCTCCCTTTTACACTTTCTCAATTCTAAGATCAGAAAAGTAGTGAATAACTCAGGTTGCATCAGAAATAACATTTCTGTTTCTCTATGTCATGCCAACAGGCTGAAGTATCTTTGGGCAGGGTTTAGTAATGTATGATGTTTGGATTGGACTTTGCTATGAAGAGCAGTGTGGGTGACTGTTGCTGTTGTTATTTTTCTTTTTTAGTGCATTTGGTGGAATTGCATTTTTTACAGTGCCACGATGTGCTCGTGATGATGCCCTGAGTGTCACTGACAAGAACATTGTTAGTCCTGGCCCAGCACTTGATCCAGAACTTGGTGAAGTCATTTAAAAAGCTCTTATTGATCGGAAGATGCTACCAAAACACAAGCCTTCTTGGAGTTGCTTTCTCACTGATTTATGAGCTGTAGGGAAAAGTAATTAAAAGGGAAACGACATGTAACTGCGATTTAGTGGAGACTAGTGTCTAATGAAAAATGCTCCAGAACTTTTCTTTTAGGGTGCCTATCTCATTCTGAGGGCTGCATAAATCATCCCTGCAGGTTTGCAATAATATTTTTGCTTGCTTTCTACAGGGGATTTAAAGCCTGTGTTTGACAGTATTCCCTGTGCCATTTCCTTCACCGCATGAATGTTCTTTGGCATTCAACAAAAATCCAGACTGCTTACGTTAATCTGATTTCCACAATCAAGTCACCATTAAATGTATTTCTGGCTGTGTGGTGAGTCATGCTGTAATGATCAGATCCAGGTCATTCTGGATATTGTGCAAACATGAGATAATGTCTTTCTTGAAAGACTTGGAAGGCTCTTCTTTCTTTAAAGTGAGAGAAAAAGGGATTATAACCTTTTTGACTGCTCCAAGTGGATGCCAAAACTTCTGATTGCATATGAAAACAAAATTCACAGTATTTTAAATGAGGGAAGACAGACATGACAAATTATCAGGTGAAATCTGAGATCCTGATTGGATGGATGCAATGAAATTTCACACTGCTGAAGGCACAGTGTTGTAGAGATGACAGGAGTTGTAGCCATAGTCTGTGGACAAGGAAAATGTGTATTAAAAAGCAATCCAGAGCAACTAACGTGTGCCTAGGTTACCACAGGTGTAATGTTTATGTTTCCTTGTTATCCCATGCCCTTTCTCCATAGTTAACAGAGAATTTCTGGTTGCTTTAGTATAGTCCTTCAGTCAAGATTGCCTGACTTTGAACAAGAGCACTAATTTCAGTGTATTAATTATCGTTATCAACATTTTGTTTCTGAGTTGCAACTGCACATCTGAAGTTTAATCCAAATGGCAAGATTGGGAGCTGGAGGCAACACAGCTGGCAGTGCTAAGCCCTAGCTAATCAACTGTGCCACAAGGCAGACTTATTAGCTCAGGCAGCAGTTTCTAAACTGGAAGGGTCTGGTTTATTTGTGACAAAGGGGGCTATAATAGCATGGGGGGTCAGCAGATCATGTGTGGGATATGTAGGAGTGAGGTTGAAGAGTTTTGAAGACCAGGTTGGACCGCTTTGGTGCCAGTTTGCTGTGCTGCTGCCCAGAGCCCACGCAATGCATGGCCACATACCTTCTGGTGAGAAGGTTCTGTGTCATGTTCAGAGCCAGCAACTCTCGTGTGAAGTTGAATTCAAGTTTGCAGTTAGCTTGAATAGGAATATCACTTAGGATAGCAATATCTTCCTTTGTTCTGCTAAATGGATATTTTCTTTTTTCTGAAAAAGACATAGGGGTTTTTTTTTGCTTTACATGGGTGAGAGACTGTAATTTCACCTGGAAAAATATTCTTTCTCCTTTGCCTATTGATTAATTTCTCATACACAGTTTTTGAAGGGCTGTATCAGGCTGACAGCTGTGGTCCTTTCCTTTCTGCTACCTGGGATCCCATGGGAACAGGACATTTCCAAAAATCTGCTGCTTTAGGTGCACTGACCTTTTATGTTTGTTTTAAGTTACACTGTTCTTTTATCCATCACAAAACCTTGGAAACTTATCTCATATTATAACAGTTCCCTTTGGCTTTTAATCCTAAATGCAGAAATTTCATTAAGTTATTCATTTTCCCTCATTTTCATTGTGATCACCAGCCACGTCAATCACAGCAGCACTTCAAAGAGAGAGGTTGAGCTGTGCATCAGATATAACTTTATTCTTTGTATTTATAAGGCAAAGCATAAATTCTAACAGGTCCACTAGTCATATCTATTGATTTGGTACTTAATCACACGAACACAATGAATATTCAGTGCCCGTATGATATAAAAAGAACAATCAGAATAAGCTATTATAGGTGCTGGAATCTCATTTAAAATCTAATTAGGTCTAGTACAAAACTAGAGGAGTCCTGTCTGAGTAGGAAGAAATGGATGTGTCTATATAACAAGTGAAATGTCTTCTTTTTTTCACCCATCTTCTGGCATATGTTAAGAAGCTAACATTTTTCTCAGCTTCCACTTAGAAAACCATTACTCTGTCTAGCTTGGACAAAGGCTCATGACCTCATGTTTTAATTTACAGACTAAAGCTGATCATTCTGCATAACTGCGTTCTGCTTCATATACAGCATGACCACAGGCACAATGTGAGGGGTGGTCACTGCAACTCAAGCAGTGATTGCTTTGTAGCTCTGCCCATTTCACAGCTCTGACTGCTATTAGTGTTGCGTTGGCCACAGTGCTAATGGGCCTCTGCAGAGTGAGGCTCTTTCAGAAGTTCTTTTACAGCACAAAGAGTGGAGATGGTAGGAAAATCCCACTCTGTATTTGAAAACCACTTAAGGCACTAAGATGTCATGCAAGAAATCCTTGGTAGCAACTGTAGGGACTTGTAGGCTTTTTAAAACCTATCTGTGCAGACTTCCAGATTAGGACAGAGCCTGCCCTGCCATTTCTATGTGGGGATGTATGGAGGGATGTACCTCTGTCAGTGTTATACACACGCCTGCATGGTTAAGTGAAAACAGATTATGGTTCGGTTCAGCACTTACATTTTGCTGGAAAATGGAGAGCCATGAGATATGCTTTTACACAGATATTCGTGCAAGTGAATAAAATTGGTTTTCAGAACAAGTATTGATTGCCTCGGGGCAGATGAAGAACAGAACCAAGGAAAATAAACACCTTTCAGCTAGCTGTGTTCTGCAAATAGGACATGCTCTTCTGTCTTCAGGGTGTATCTTTCTGTTAAAACAGAGCTAGCAAACTGAATCTGTTGTTTAATGCCTGTTCTAGTTTCCCTTGTGCTTTTCTTGGTGAACCAAAGTGTTTGTAGGCGTAGGTTCAACCAACTGTGTAAGATTATTTGCACTCTTGCTGTTCTTTCACTCATTTGCTTTTCTGTTGTTGTTTTACGTTGGAGATGAAGGAGTGCAGCTGGAGACCAAGTCAGGAAAGGCATTTGGGGTTTT